GGTAGGGGGTAGGGGGAGGGGCGAATCCTGCTGCTGTCATTATTATAACCTATTAATGAACACTCTCGTTCGTTACCCAGGGGCAAAACTACCACGGTGGCCAGTATTTTTATCTGAATTTAATCAAAGCCCATCTTTAAACAATCCTTGAGAAAGGCGTCACAGCACTAACGTCGGTGGACATGCAATCGAAAACCATGAGAGAATGGGGAAATTTAGCTTGCATGTTTAGAGGAGTCGCCTTTGGATTCGTGCTAGCCCATCCTTTATTCTCCCTTTTGTACTTTAAATCCCCGAAAAGGAACAAGATTATCTTCTGGCTATAGCAAGACGTTTTACTTTGGCCATGGATCTCCTCATCCTTTTCAAATATCGCATTTGGAGGGTGACCTCTGCTTGACAAGGTCATCCAGAAGGTCATTATTGAGTGCAAGCTTCGTGGTGGAGGCAATTCCGGTGCCAGATTGCAGTGATTGATTTTCAAGGGAGCCAGATTGTCCTTCAGGCTGGTTACTTCCAGTACCAATTACGGACTGTTTTCACAAAGCACAATTAGAATTGGACAGTGACCATGGCCTCTTTATTTTGACAACCCCGACTCCAGACCTCATGATGCAATTTATTCCCCTTCATGATTCAAGAGATTCAATCCATCAATGCCCCTTTTCGTCGGTTGCATGAGTGAAGAATGTTTATTGCCCTGAAGATTAAATTGCATCATTCCAAGTTTCAAACTTCGTGGTGGTTTGGGTGGATAGTTTATTTATTTCAAATGGCAGGCGTTTTGATAGTTATCACTAGCCCTTTAGCTGACTTCGGGCTTCACAGAGGGGAGGGGGAACATCAAAGTGAGAAAAAATCGAGAGGGGGAACAGGAGAGTATTTCAAAGATGTAAAAGAGACAGGAAGATACAAAGGTAGAGAAAAGGTAAGGTGAGTACTGTGAAAGGGGTCAAATATGACATACAGTGGGGTCATGGTAGTTTGAAATGAGATCCAAAGTTCACCCCAAGTGTCAACACTTAATTTTGTCTCCAACGCTACGAAACCTAGCTAGCTGCCTTCTTTATATTCCCTAAAATAAATTCAAAAAAGTTGCGTAATATATTATTTCGAAGTAATCGGGTTTTATGTTGGTAAATACCAACCTGTTCAGTATTTCCATAAATTTTCCTAGGAATTCAATGTTTATTGAGCATTTTTGGGCCTTTAATTTTAATTTTATAAAAAAAATGTTTGTCTGACCATCTCCAAATTGGCGTTAGATTGTCATCCATGATAAGGCAAGACGGAAGTAAGAAAGGTATCAATACTGCCATTTCAACAAATTGCACTAATTAATTTGCATAGATCTTATAAAATTACGCGGCATGGGATGCGATAAGGGGGTGGGGGGGGGGGGGGGGGGGGGGGGGGGGGGAAGAGGTTGAAGGAGATGACGAGAGGAAGACAAGGAAGGGAGGAGAGAGCAATTTCTCCTTTCTCCTTTGAAGATTGAAGATGTCGCCATTGAGGCGTATCGCTGTAAGTGGAAATGATTTACGCCTTCGTTTAATAGCAATATTGATAAGTGAAGGTCTTAGCCTTAATCCTCTCACTCTACTTACATAGCCATAGTAATATCTCAGAGGACTCACTTCATGACCTATGACACCGATTGGAAAAAGATATTTATTGATTTATATCAAATGGCAGGCGTTTTGATAGGTATCATTAACCCTTTAGCTGACTTCGGGCTTCACAGAGAGGAACATCAAGGTGACAAAAAGTCGAGAGGGGGTGTCAGAATAATGATTCAAGGATGTAAAAGAGACAGACACAAAGGTAGAAAAAATGTGAGGTGATTACTGTGGAAGTAGTCAAATATGGCATATAGTGGGGTGATAGTAATTTGACGTGAGAAGTCAACTGCCGGTTACCAAACTTTTTTGCCGTATGAGAATACGTTGCCCAGTGTGTACCACATGGAGGTAAGTCTATCGCGCACACCTGGTGAAAGATATAATAAAATAAAAACTATCTCCATTCAATAATCACTCATTCTCCATGACTGCAGTGTATATACTATGCCAGTAATTACAGATTATCGATAAATGTTAAATCACCAATCTGATAACAGTTATTGATTTTCATCTATTAGCACTAAACATTACACCATCTAGACCTTCCAATATGCTTTCTATTCAATCGAAAAGCGGTTAAATTAAACTCAATTTTTTAGCCTTAGTTACGTACACAGCGAAAAGTAACGAAAGTATGGAAAAGGTTGATGCGTCAAATGGGCTAGTTTATTTTGGCAGCACAGGCATATGCAATTCCAAAACATTTGTCACCACCTACGGGGCCTACATCTTCGTGCCAAATAGAGAGAAGAGAGAATTAAATATTTAATGAAATTTTTTTCCATAGTCTCGAAAATTGTTAACTTCTTCCTGCCACCAAACTCATTAATCTTGCTGACAGCGGGAAAAACCTCAGTACAATTGAAAATTTTATTCATTTTTTGGCATTCCATTTTAATAAATTCGAAATCTTGGACATGTGTCTCAACGTGTTGTACTATTATTATTTTTTGTGCGTGAGCTTTAATCCCTAAGATTTGTTAAGAGATAGCACTCACTTCTGTTAAAGCTAATTAACCAACACATTCACACGACTAAATGTGACCTTGATTTGACCTCCCTTCTACGGGGGAGTCGAGTTCAAGAGGGCGCTCAAGTGGGTAGAATGCCCGTTATACTTTGTCCGGAGTTAATTAAGTATTAAATGAGTCTAAAAGGCACAGTAAGTGGTGGTGGTGGCCTTATTAGCGAGACTTAGGCGTCAAGGTCGTCTTGGAATTCGCTTGAGTCCTGTGTTCCGAGGGGGCATTTTGGGGGGAGTGGAAATCTCCATAGTCGTGGTTTGTAATAAGGAACACCTAAAATACTCCACGCGGTTTTCATCCTTCAAACTTTCTAATCAAGTTTACTACCTCAATTATCTTTCAACCTGGGGTGTGCGATAGACTTGCCTCCACGTGGTACACCCTGGGCAACGTATATTCATACGGCAAAATAGTCTATTGACTGGCAGTTGACTTCTGACTTCAAACTACCATCACCCCATTCTATGTCATATTCAACTACTTCCATAGCACTCACCTCACCTTTGTTCTACCTTTGTGTCTGTCTCTTACATCTTTGAAACACTCTTCTGTTCGCCCCCCCCCCCCTCGACTTTTTTCAATTTGATGTTCCTTCCCCTCTGTGAAGCCTGAAGTCAACTAAAGGGCTAATGGTAAAT